ATAGATTCATATAGAATCTATTCTGTTGGTTCATACATATGTAACATACCTTGTAGTATAATGGTAGAGTCCCGAAAGTTTAGTGCGGTAAAGAACGAGTGTTGCACGTTGGAAACTAGGGACGCCATACTGTAGGAGTACATGTTGTTAATCGAGAGCGTCCATTTGAAGTTAGGAAGTCGAATACACCGTTTTACTATGCCTTAATTTAGCAGTTGTGGGACTGGTATGTACATGATTTGTTGTGGAATATATACTTGTACTGTAGATATGAACAGTACAGAAATATTAGTGATTCGGAATGAGAAGCATTCCATCGTTGTTTTGTGCTAGACCACAGGCTGCAACATGAGTAGTTAGGCAAGGAGTCAGTCTAACCCATCTAACCAAAGATACTAGAAATACAAGATAGAGTTCTCGCATTGTAAAAATGAGGCGGAAGTCGTGCCCAACGTAGGCGGCGCCCTTCTTTTTAACCATGCAAGTTTCCTATACTTCGTGCCCAACGTACAGGGCGCCCTTCTGTTGCTAAGTATATCCAGACGCAAAAGGCGCCCTTCCTTTTCCACTAATGGAAGAAAACTTTTTCACTAAGAGTGCGTCCGGCCATGCGATTCTGCGCTGTATTGTTGTTTTATTCTTTACTGATTCATGAATAGCAACGATTTCTACCGCCACCAAGGAGGTTATGTATTCACCGATGTCACTGTCTGGGTGTCTATTCCAGTTTGTTTTTATATCTAGTATCTTTGTTGAGAATTGATAATAAAATATGCGACGACTTGGTAACGAAAGTTTGGCACAAGTTTTTTTAGATCCAGCTGTAGGGGGCGTCCCATTTTTCGTATTCCCACCATGCATTTCGGTGGAACACTTTTTTTGTGTGGAGAACTCTATCTTGTATTTCTAGTATCTTTGCCATGGAGGTATTATCAAAGAGTATAAATAGAACAAGAGAGCCAACAATGCTCATTGAGAGCGTAAAAAAACGATACGGCCTACGCAGCTAGTGTAGGACGCCAACTAACGCTTGTATGTGTTTTATTACCCAGTACTCCACCGCGCACTGTCGGTTTGTCTGTTTATCTGTTCTCCACAAGTACTTTTGTAGAGGGCGGTATTTGCGCTTGTATAAAGCTGACCTAAAGTAGATCTAAAAGTATGTAAACATAAGATGATAAACATAGTGCAGGGCCTATGATAGTTGCATGGAGGAAATTTTTCCCCTCCATGATAGTTGAAAGAATTTATACGTACAATGCTGTGCAAATAACAATATGTGTAAGAAAAACAAAATATGATGCTTGCGATAGATATAATAGGAATGCAAAGGTGGTCAGTATAAGAGAGCAATATATTTTATTTGTGCCATCAAACAATTATATAGTAAATACAATATAAAAGCTATAACAATATTAATAACAACAATGACAATATTAATAACTTACGAGTAGTCATGCTCTTCTATCCATTTTTTTTCATTTTAATCATCAAATATGATATTCAAAAAATATTAATGATAATATTAATAGTTACAATTATAATATTTTCAGATTCAATTAGCATCAGTCTGTCTGCATATATAGCACATATTTAACATAGCTTTATCAATGCTCTTAAATTCATTTTTTAAAAATTTTCAAATATATTTTAAACATAATAATTGTAATAAATAGCTCAGTTATAATTATAATAATTTCAGTTTCAGTTTTAGCTACCGTCTTCTGCATAGCAAAAGAATCTTAGCTTTGTTAATAATGATAATCACAATCAATAGAGTGAAAATTATGATAATATTAATATAATGACTAGGCAATAACAACAAATAACACAGTATAACAATAACAGATGAAGCCGAGTAAAATAACTATTAGCAAAATATTATATCCGATGGAGTTTTGCGTCAGGAGAAATAATATGAAACATTGTTTCTCTGATGCAAGACGCCATCGTAAAAGCAGTACCGCTGCTACTTGGGGATTGGATCCATCACTAGCCAACCGCAAACTCGGTGGTGTAGTTAAGTCATCGGTCTAGTTAACCTAGAGTTCGTGGGTTTGATTCCTATCTGAAACAACTGTGATTTTTTATCAAGTATTTGAATTGTACTGAGCATTTAGTACTATATAACACGTCATGTGGGCAAACATCATTTCGTGAAATATTATTGGAGGAAATAATAAAATTCTGGTGTAGTACTTTAATAAACATCCAATAATGTTTTCAAGCATTAGCCACATATCGTGTATGCAAAAATTCATAACCAAGGTTTTGGAAAATCAAATTTGCTTGTTTACAAACTTTTTTACAACGAATTTTAATAATAAAAATTAGTGATGTGAATGTGACAATATTATTGTATAATATGCGATTAAACTCTTATAACTTATGCAAGAGTAAGTCAATTGAGAGAGCAGCTTAGCAGTCGGCTAATCTGGTGGTAGCCACTGTGTGTGTGCTGAACCGTGGAGATCTCTAGATCCCCGGTTCATTTCCCATCGCTGCCTCTCCTTGTGTTTCAGCTAGAGGGCTGAAATACAGGTTACAATAGCGCACCGTCCTTCGGATGAGACGTTTAAGCCGTTGGTTCCGTGTGCATTTATAGCCCATGTGCACGTTAAAGAACGCAGTACACTCTTCAATCCAATCCAATTCCAGTAAATAATTTATCATTTTAAAACATATAAAATGGAGAATATGGATATATTAAAAAGTCAATTTTCTTGTTTTGGTCATTTAAGTTGGTTTTCGTAATACAAACCAGTACAGAAGAGCTGTAAAATTTGAATTATGAAATAGGACAAAATAGTTTGAATTTAATTAATTGTGGGGGGGGGGGGGAGGAAGAAAACGTCAGGTTCGCTTATTCCTGATGGGCCGCTTTGGTAGGAATGGCCCATTGTCCTACTAAAACCCTATAAGGTATTTTAGGACATGGGTTCTCAACTATATCGTAATAAGAAGCAAAATTGTTCATTGAATAAATTTGAAGGGCCAGGGCAAGAGGTTGGTGCTAGACGCCCATACAGGGAAACTTGACCTAAAGTTACCCTTGTGTTTGGTGAAGTAAAAGACAAACTGTTACAGTATACATCAGAAAAATGATCAACGGTATTTCTTTGCCGTTTGCTGCGACAGTTCTTCCAATTTTATAACTTAAATTGCTACAATTTGTGGGGCAAGGCTTTAGTTGGCAAAACAGAATGCAAAATTATTACGGTTAGTAATCACAAACCTCTTTTTTTTTTAAATTACTTAATTGATCAATTAAAAAAAAAAGTGCAAGTAAATTTCTTGCACAGTATTACCTATCTACTACAAAAACTTTATAAATGGGTAATTTTTATTAATTTTCTGTTCTTTCTCATTTCTTTTTTATTTTTCTTTAACAAATCCCGCAAATCTCTGTTATAAAATTTTGACAGCCCAAAATTGTATGATTTAAAGTGTGTTAGAAGTTGCGATGGATCTTGTAGAAAGGTAGAATCACTTTGGAGTGATGCCTTGCACACATCGCACTTGTGCTTTGTTAAGAACCTTTTGGCAATATATCCTGCCACATATACGATAGCATTCATATGTGTCTGTTCAACGGCCACCAATTCATCAACATTAGGGCTGTCATTGTAAACCTCATTATCCACTGCTGCTTCGGTTTTCAAACATTTTTGTTTAGTCTCACATACCTCAATGAAATAATCATCGTCAGGTAGACAATTACTAATATTCCCAAGCGGAGCCATCATCTTTGAACACACCACCTGCTTCAGGGAGGCGCGAAATTATATTAACTGTAGGGTTGTCCCTATTCCCACCCCTGTGTCGAATAATCGAAAACAAATTTTCCAAGCAGTCCTGATTAAGACGATTAGTTAGTAGGAAATTAAAATCACATTGTGTTGATATTTCACTAAATAATTGAATAGTTTAATTAATTGTGAGAACCCACCCCTGAATGCATACAATTTTAGTTAACGACCCCGATTTTAACCTCCAACCCTTTATCCATTCAACACACTCTCCCCAGAACTGGATATGTGGGGAACCAACTTTTACAGCTCTTCTGTACTCTTTTGCATCGCTCAGCTTAGCAAATGTCTTATTACACAATTTTAGCAAAATCTTGGCTTAAAAAATCGTCTTAGATGGCCCTAATGTACAATCGACAAAAAAAATGGACTTAAGACGAATTTAAGCTGATTTCTAGTTTGATAAATCTGGCCCCTGGAATTGAATGAATCAAATAACTGATCCATTTTTTCAATAAAATTTGCAGTATATACTGCTTCTGCTGGTAATTTGCCAAGTGATGAGTGTGTTAAAATACCAGCTGCCACACTATGGTTTAATACTTGTGCGGCAAGACAAACCCTCATGGGTGTGAAGGGCGGTAGTTCAATGTGCCTTGAAGTCAGCTTTGGGGCCATTCTAAGGGGCAGCTTGGAATCATGATTAAAGAATTCTACAACAAAATCCCATTTAATTTCATGTCCATCTACAAGAAAGATATGTTTTTACAGGTTATTGCGCACACTTTTTAACAAATTGGCGGGTCGTACATAAAATAGATGTTGTGGCTCTCACTACCGTCCTCCTTTTTCCACATAATAAATGGTTTGTCACCTGTTAAGCCTAACTCAGAAAACATCTTACGATAGTTTGAGCCTTGGTCTCCAATCACAACTTTTACCGTGAAACCTATATTTTGTAGCTTTTTTATGCAGTCAAGCAGTAGTATTTTTTGTGTACTGCCAGGTGTGGCACTTTTGGCTAAGAAGTAACCTACTGGTTGCTTCCACATTACATGACAGTCCCCTAACCAAAAATACCAGGGCATGAGTGGTTATGTTTTTTGTTCTTCCAATAGAACCAAAATCCTCCATTCCCTCTACTACATCTTTTGCCATGTCATAGTAGAGGCCTGATTTCAAACTCATCTCATCCAAAGTTACAACACACACTTTGTTTCTTTCCGACATGGTCATACACTTTTTACGCAACACCTCAAAGCATGTGTTATTAAAACCAGGTTGTAGCTTCACGTTTTCCAACCATCTTCTCAATGAACTTACAGTAGGCAGTGCAAAAATCTTCCGACAAAATTTATAAGCCTTCGGGCTTTGGTAGTGAAGTGCGAAGGCCAACAGCTTGTCTTCCTTTGTATATCTTCTCCCTTTTGCTTGTCTCTTCGAAATTCTCATTTGGCTGGCAAAGAACTCTAGTGAAGTTTCATTCAGGTATTTTGCAGCGTTTTCAATAATATATTTGGTTGAACTCGAATTACGTTGTAAATTTTCCAAACTGGATTGCAACTTCTTTATTTTACGCCTCAGTCTGTACATCTTTGCCCTCTTTGCTGCATTGATATTTCTTTTTTTTCTGCGATGAGCATCCTTTTGTGTACCCTTACCAGGCTCTTTGAAAACACACAATTAATTCAGAGCAAAGGGCGTCGACTTGTGTGCCAGAAGGAATAATCTTTTTTGTAATTTCTAAAGAATCCGTTTCTGAAAAGTAATAGGAACAAGAATTAACTGTTACGATAATTTTTCACAAAAACGTAACTGTTGAAATGCAAAAGAATTATGTTTATTATTGGTTTATTGTGCATTTTTTTAAATATTTAAAATGTGTGCCTACATCTAACCATTTTCAATTCAACATACACCCACATAGGCCCCCCACACACAAAACATGCTTATGTTTATACTAGTTTAACTGAATAATTTTGTAATTTTTGTATACCTAGTTCGTTTGTGCTGGAGTTATTTCCAAAGGTCGAGTGTTTGTTTGGCTCCCTATCTAATGTAGACCTATTTGGTTTTTCATGGCTCTTTCCTTTATTGCAAAGTGCATCTATTTGTGTGTCAAGAATAGTATCTTCTGTAACTTCCAAAGGTGCTTTGGGTTCTGAAAAGCAAGGAGCACAAGTAAAAATGGTTACAATCATTTAACATCAAAACAGATGAACACACGCATAACGCCAGATTTGAATATACAAACCATGCTGTTAATTTAAAATGGGTCTCAGTTTAACCCAATATCTCCAACTGAAAACACACCATTAAATAACACTTCATAAATATAGGCCTATATCCTCTATAGTTTGTTATAGGCATATTTTTATGTTTTTACAATTCTGCAAGTGGCGATTCTTGTTTGTTTAAATAAAAAAAAATTTCAAATCGTTGGCCATACCTGGTTCTATTATACTGGAGTGACTTCCAGTGCTTGTTTGTTCGTCTGGTTCATTTTCCAATGAATAATGCTTTGCATAGCTGTGGTCTTCTTCTAAACCTATTGAAGTACAATGATATAAATAATTTATAAAGGGCCTATATTAAACCTATAATAAGCAAAGCTAATACATCAACATTTAACCAAAAATAATATACAAACATAAAAAAAAACCTGTCAAATAATTTTCTGAAATCAAGTACATAAAGAAAACAGTCTAGGCATAGGATAGGGCTATCTGTTCAAATAAAATTTGCAGTTAACCTTTTTCACGGGACCTGGTTAGACAAAGCTCTTATTCAATGGTTTTTAGTAAGGGGCCTAGACTAGGCCTATATATAATAAATGGGTTAATTAATTTAAAATTGTAATACAGTAACTAATAAGCAAACCGCCACACATTGCCAATATTTAGCACTGTCAATCTTTATTCCTACATTTAACACACTGTCAATTTAGGCATACACACATTGCATTAACAGAAGTCACTTAGCAACCAATGTTATACAAATTGTTAACTTGTTAATTAATTGTTGAGCGTAATGTCGACCTAGGCCTAGGCATATTGACAGAAATCACTTAGCAACATCAATTTATAACAAATTGTAACTTTGTAATTGTAACACGCAGCGCTATGCAAATGAACCAAGATCAAAGCTGCCGCAGTGCGTGAAGAACATTTGCGCGATGCCTTTGAAGTCCCATGTGTTCCCCGCCATCAAATTTTCCGCAGGTATAGTTTATCAAAAAATTGAACATAGCGAAATGGAGAGCACCTTCTTTTCTCGATGCACACTACATACAGTCAATCACTATGGCTGCGCAATCGTTTCCATTGTGAAGCTGATACATTTATCTCTCATAAAATATCAAACATATTAATATTTTCCACCAAAAAAAGTTTCGAATTTAATGGAACATTTACATGACCTTTAAAAGTATAGTATATTTCAACTTCAATTTTCATAAATTGGCCAAAATTCGCTAATTCTAATTTTAACAGATATTACTAAGTCATTTTAGGGTTAACGAGGGTTAACTATTCAAAAAATCAATCCAAAATCTGAGTATTTTTCAGTTTTACGCTTTATTGCACAACTGCTCTGCTGGAAGCGTATAAATGCATGTCGTTGCCAAGTTGTTGCTAACGAAAAAATGTGAATTATAGGGTAATACGCCCACGCACGATCCAAAGGCGGGGAACACATGGGTTTGTCGCGTCAAAGGGTCTGTTGCCGAGTGATCTCCTCAATAATACCTCTATGGTCTAACTAATGCATGTAGCCTTTACGTATTTTATCTTTATATTTGTTGTTCCTGTTTATAATATTATTGCGGCTGTGTACAATACAGTCATAATTATAGAAGAACACCGTTTAATTATTGAACTATAATCATAAGTCTAAGCAATTATTAGATTTAGTAATGTAGTGACGGTTTGATAATAAGCAATAAGCCTATGTAATACATCACATGTTAACATTTGATGATAGACCTTCGCCAATGACTCGTCACGCTTGACTGCACAAATGAATATTTATGAAGTCATAGGATAGGCTGATACCATTGGTATTGTCGAGGTGCAGTGGGTTTCTTATTGCCTAATTTAATTGTTTAATCATTGTTTTTACTTATTTTACAGTAATTTTACGTCTTGATGATCTTGATGACAGTTAATTACATTAGATTTCAAATTATCTTGGCAATCCCATCATAACAGTATTACAAATATTATATCAAGAAACAACCCCTATTGACAATATTTTTAAATTGCAAAAGCGAGCTCTCAGGATTTGTGCAGGGACAACTCGTATTTCCCATACCAAACCTTTATTTTACAAATTTAATTTAATTTAAACTTCCTTTAAATCCTTACCTAATCTCAACTCTTTTAAATACAATCTTAAAAAGTCTCTGGTCTCGGAGTATAGCCGGTAAGTCTCCTGGTCGGTCTGTCTGTCTGTCGGTCATTCTTATTTGTACTTAACGGACTGCCACTACATATATACGTTTGTTTGTATATGTATGTGTGTGTAT